CCTGGCTGAATCCAGCACAGCAAGGCAAGGGTGGAGTAACACAGCTTCAAGTAACTTCAGCCCACACCACGTCGGCGGGAGCGTTGGCGCTTGCTGGCGGATTTGTGCCTTCAAAGGCACCGTAACTAGAGCCGCGCCGTAAGGAGATCCTCGCTTCACCTCTCTCTGCTGGGAAGCAATTTACTTGGGAAGGGAATTTGAACATGTGACAGCTAACATTCGTCGTCTGAAAACGAGCCTCAAGGAACACTAAACCCTCGAACGTCAGGGAGGCCGAGAACGAGCTGGACTCAGCCTTGGAGATGCCCCAGACCTGTTTGATGGGTTTTTGCATTTCGATTCCGTGAAGGGGCAGCCCCTGCTATTAAAGCACACGTTTAGGGGAGCAGAGGGACAAGTCCCTACAGTCCATGTTTGAGGGCAGAATGAAGACACTGAAGGCTCCAGGGGCTCACTGCAATGACGCGCAGTGCAGACACCATCCTGCCAAAGGCCTCCTCATACCTGTCGGCCACGGTTCCACCTGGTGCCATTCAAGATAGTGACGCGGCTTCCACTCGCTCTTCCTGCCACTGCTTTTTGGCACTTTGGCTTTTGGCAATCGGCAGCTCTTCCCTGGCCGTTCCAGGCTGTTGCTCCATTCCTACTACTCGGGCCTCCTGCTGGTAAGGGTGGGAAATGGGGGTGAAGCAGCTCACACAGGAGTTAGTACAGCCAGTAAAAACAAGATGTTTGTTTTGCAGAGTATTGCTACATCGGTTGGGAAGGCAGCGGCCAGGCCCACACCAACGCGCGTGTGTGCGTAGGCAGTGACCCGATACATTCAGAGGTGTTACAGCATCTTTCCCCGTGCACCCTTCATTCATTTTCTGGGGTTTTAAGTGCTTGGTTATGCCAGGCTTGTAAACTGTCCCCAAGAACAGTCTTGTGTGCGGGACATTCCGGTCCGGAATTTCATTCCAAAACTTGGCATGGGAATTGGGGATTATTTAAAAATCTTCCTGGTTGCTGGGTGCGTGTCCTAAACTAATTTCCTTCTGACAACAGTATCTCAGGCACTGGGAAGGTTTTCCAGCTCGCTGCCCGTTGGGGTAAAGCCTGTGGATTGCAGGTACGGCAGGGAGCTGCCGCAAAACCACTTCCATGTCGTTTGTTGTTTGTCCTGCACCAAACCCCATTGCTGCTGCAGGAAACCTGTGACATCCTGCTGGGGGATGCCGGGATCTCCTGCAGAAGCAGAGCAGAAGCGGTTCTGGCTCCCCATCCACCTGCAGGCTCTGGCCTTGCCCCCAGGTAACAGCCCCTCACTTAGTACACACACACGGTGGTTACAGTGGAGGGGAGGAGGGAAAAGGGAAGAGGAGAGCTGGAGCGATGCCGCCTTCAGCTGCGCTCAGTTCGGCTGCCACTGCCGCTGCCGCACCACTTCACCAGCCTGGGAAAGCAGCTGAACACGCCAGGCCAGACGGCCTCTCCGCTGGCTCTAACGCCGTCGCCTGTACCTGGAACGGGATTTGGCCTGACGCTGAAAAGCGCTTACCATGGCTTAAGGCAAAGAGAACCCTGGCGCAGCAAGCGACACAAGGCCGCGCGGTCCAGTGCGGGTTCACGCAGCGCACGGGAGAAGGTGCCACAGGAAGCACATGTGCACGCAAGGGAAAAATGGAAGTGCCGACAGCGGGAGGGAGGCCCTTTAACCTGGCAAAATGCAAAAACAATCATGCATTTTCACTGCAAGTTGATTCCTGCTTCTTACTCACCTCTCAGGGGAAAGGGAAAAGCCATGAGGTTCTAGGTTGCACACTCGCAGGACGAGAGGGGGAACAAAAGAATAGCCCCCAAAACACACCGAACATCTCCGATTCGGTGCCATGTTACATCTAGAGCTTCTTTGTTAGTAAACTAAACTTCTTGGCAAGATAAATACTAATAAAAGTGCAAAATAAAAAAAACCCACTGGGCTCACTGGCACGACTGGTCCTCCCCACATCTGCCTGCTTAGCAGCAACCGACCTACTGCTACACACCACTGCTGCTCCTCGGGGGGGAGAGAGCCTGCCCGTACGGCAGCCCCCGCAGGCAGAAAAACCCAAGCGGCGCCGATCCGGCTGGCAAGAGGCGAGCGGGCTGGTAGAACTGCTGCTCCTCATGGGGAGAGAGCCTGCCCGTACAGCAGCCCCCACAGGCAGAAAAACCCAAGCGGCACCGATCCGGCCGGCAAGAGGCGAGCGGGCTGGTAGAGCCCAGCCCGAGCTTGGCAGGGCGGTAATTAGTTCTCATTCTCCAGTTTGCATTTTAACACGCCGCTATGGTAAAGTCCCCAGGTACCCAGGAAAGTGGTCATAACCTTAATGCAAACAGCTGGCTTAAAAAGATCACAGCCCTATGTCAATACCATATATTAATTCATCTGTTTATATATAATTTTACTTTCTTCATATATTTCTGGATTTCACGGTAGTGCAATAATTAAAATCACGAGTACAATCACAGGGACTTCAGGCTACTGAGATTTGTCACCACTGTTTAAGTAGAAAATCACAGTTAAGCATTATAGCAGATTAATACGACCCATTCTGTCACACACCCCCTGCCAAAGCTTCCCATACACCACTTTTAAGTGACCCACAGGCAAGGCGCCACCCCAAAAACCCCATTTTCTCCTTGTCTTAATGACAGAACCAGGAAATTAGACAGTTTGCCAACAGCCTGTCCCATTCACAGCCACTGGACGTCACCCGCTTTCCTGGTTTATGTCGCATGCACTTGCAACACAGCGTTCATCCTTCGCGAGACAAGCGAGTTCAGCACCGTGGCCAACAGGCCTCTCCCCTCTCTCACGAAAACACTTTGTGACCAAGCACCTCGGAACTGCAGCCTTCGCCCACCCCAAAGAACCCGAGCACTCTGAGCAGTCCCGTTCTTCCCGCCATAGTTCGTATGGCAGCGCTGGCGGGCACGCCGCACGCTCGGAAAAAAGTGGTTTACCCTTCGCAGTACGGCCCGTGTGTCGTACCGCCTTACCCCCTTCACGTCACGGCAGGCTCTGCCACCGCTGCGGCCCGACAGCGAAAGCAGAGAGAGGGCCGGTCGCAGGGGAACGAGCATGCCGAGCGCTGCGCCGCCCAGGAAGGCTGCTCGAGCCACTTCGCAAGGATGGCTACGGTTCAATCGCGTTTCCCTTTACAAACAAAGGAAAGGCAGCTTTTACTTTAATCCTTCTTCTCCCGGTCAACGCTCGCGTTTTTCCTGCCGGGGGAGCCGCTAGCAGCCGCTGGGGAATCGCGCAGCACACCGTCCCGGTGGGGCTGGGTAGAGCCTCGGGCCGGAGAGTCCCCCGCTATCTTGCGGGAGGTCTCTATCACAGAGTTTCTCAGCGTGTCGTTCATTTCTATTACCTCAAAGTCCGCTTCGTTCCACTCTCCTGCATCCTCCTCATCCTCCTCGTCCTCGGTAAGCCCCGAGTTTGACAACAAGGCTTTCCGGTCCTCGCTCTCACTCGGATCTTTCCGGTCGCTCTCGCGGGGGAAGTTGGCCAACTTGTACATCAGGGGGAAGAGTAGAACCGTCATGGCGGAAGTCGCCAGGGCAGTGTACATAACCACGGGAACGTGGCGAAACCTGCCCTGAAGATACCCCACCACGGCGGGAATGCACATCTCGCCCAGCGCCGCGCCAATCACGAACAGCGAAGCCGACTTCCCTTGCACGACCGTGTACTGTTCAATCCAGGAAATGCCGCTGGGAAAGATGGTGGCCATCGACGCGCCGTACACCGCGGTTCCAACCCACAGGGAGGCCGGGTACCGCGCGAAGAAGGCCAAGCACGAAGAGGAGACGGCGGAGCCGAGGATGCTCAGCAGGATCATGGTGCCAGGGTACAAGCAGGCAGCGCAGAATATCGCCACTCCTCTGCAAGCGGCAAACGCGCCCCAGAAGACGGAATTCAAAGCGGCTGCCTCGCTCTCTTTCATCTCGGCAAAGACCTTTGCGTAGGTAAATATGTAAGAGCCGTACGTGACCTCCGCTCCCACGTAACAGAAGAAGAATACGAACAGGAGAACGATGAGGGCGTAGTGGTATTTGGCAAACGTGCACTTATGCGAAGCGGCCTTCCATTTGTCTCGAGCTGAGCCGCCCTTCGCATACAAGACGAAGAAGAAGACAGAAACAAAGAGAAGATAGGTCCCGATGACAATGTAGGACCACAAAAAGTCCGCACCAAGCTGGTGTTTCAGCGCTGACACGGCTGACGCAGCCGATGCTGTCGGCACAGACCGCGGGACAGACTGGTTTGTCTTTTCAGCTACCGGAAGGTCTTGCGATTCGGAGCCTCCCAAGGCCATTTTAGCCAGGATGGGAGCCACAAACGCACCGACAGCGAAACTGAAGTGTAAGGCCTGCATGTGCGGCCCAGCCTCCGATCCCCAGGTATTCAGTGCCAGAACATTGCCACCTGCAGATGGGAGAGAGAAGGAGCCCATCACTATCGCCTCTGAAACCAGAGAGTGGGTTAAAAAAGAAGGACAAAGCAAACCATAACCCGTGTTATTAATTCAGTTTGCAGTAACACCAGGTTTAGCAAATACCAAGTGCAAAATTATGGTTACCTGAAATTCCGCCTGTGAGCACCTTAAACCCACGTGGTGACCTGAGCTCTAGGAGGGTATTCAACAGCAGCCAAAGAGAAGAGCCAGGCACTGGCTTCGTCCGGCAGCACTGGCTGTACTCAATTAACCCTGCTCAACACTCTGCCGCATTTTTCAGCGTTTTTACAAAAGAGCAAGTTGAACTGCTGCTCCTTTCTGCCACTGTTAAAGCAGCAAGGCGGAGAATTGGCGGCCCCATTAAACAGCATCCCTGGAAACCTCAAGAACCGCTCGCTTCCGACGGGCTGGGACTACCCCAACTGCCTTCAAACGACTTGCCAGGAGCAGAAAGGTTTACAGTAACGCCGCTGCAGAGGCCAAACTGCAACGCCCTCAGATCAACGGTAACGCTAGAAAATACGGCCTCAGAGAGCATTCCCTGAGAAGAACACAGGAAAATAAGAACAGCAACTAAATTCCTGCGCTCCAGCGCAGCAACCCCTAGCACGCAGCACTAGTGCTCTTCCAGATTAATTCAGCTGCTGCCTTGCTCTTAGTTTTTCCTGCTGGGAAGTCTCCCTGCCTCAAAGGTCTGACTTCCAAGCACCTCACCTGCCCACTGGCAGTGTTTTTACATTAAAGCTGACAGGATTTTCCCACATAAAGAATTTTTAAAGCGCATGCCAGGTACAATGATCCTACCCGAGGCAACAAATACAGCTCTGCGCTCAGGTTATTTAGCACAACCCGTGTCATGTAAAAACTTCTTTTTCCACTACTGGATCCTGCACTGCCCTCTCTTCCGTGCTAACAGAGCTCCCTCAAGCTCTGCAGAGTTGGGGCAAACGGTTCACAGGTGCAGCCATCGCTCCTCCATGTTGGTCACCAGCCAAGCCCCCGAGACCAAGCCCAGGCTGGGATGCTTCCAGAGCTGTTCCTCGTTAGGCTAACTCACTAGCCAGCTCTTACACAAAAATAAGCTCAGCCCGAAGCTGGTCGACCAGATCCAGCTGTACCGTGCTGCCTAGTGAGTAACCACAGGTTCCCTCAATAAGCCAGGAAAGCTGGCGCATCGCTGGAGAGACGCCAGGTGAGTGGCTGCCTGTTGCGACCTCACCAACCGCCTTCCACCGCAACGCCGGAACACTCCGCCGCTGACAGGGTTTTGATTGTTTCCGGGTTGCCTCATCCAAACTGCCTGCGACAACCAGCCATCACTACAGCATCCTTTCTCAGCCGTGCCCAATGAACTCGTTTCTGTGGGAATCTCATTTCCATACCTCTGGCATAGCTGACTTTTCCCACCTGTAGACATTCGCTCTGCGACTTCACCGGTACATCTCCCTCCAACAGGGAATCTCTACCAAGAAATAGGTTTTCAACAGGTTTCCAACCCAGGTTTCCGATGAGTTTGGTGAGGGAACAACCGGACCACGTGGGTCCCTTACCTGTGTCTAGAATTCCCATGGAAGCTCCAATAACCGACATTAAGACAGTCAGCAGCATGGATTTCTTACACCAGGGTATCCCATAAAGACCAACCGTTGTTCCAAACATGGATAATGCTGGAAAGGTTAAAAAAACCCAAAAACCTCAGATACTATCGTTTCCATTTAAACTACAAAACATACACAACACCACAACATACAATTGGATATCAGGAAGAAGTTCTTCCTGGAGAGGGTGGTGAGGCACTGGAACAGGTTGCCCAGAGAAGCTGTGGATGCCCCATCCCTGGAAGTGTTCAAGGCCAGGCTGGATGAGGCTTTGAGCAACCTGGTCTAGTGGAAGGTGTCCCTGCCCATGGCAGGGGGGTTGGAACTAGATGGTCTTTAAGGTCCCTTCCAACCCAAACCGTTCCGTGATTCTATGATTCAATTCATCGTTACCACAGTTACAAATAATCCCAATAGGTAATGTAACCTCATGACCTCAAATCATGATGAGCAGGAACAGGTAGAAAGGTCAACAGGATCATTTTTCACTTGGAAAGAAGGGATTTCATCAGCATACAACCACCACGTGAAAAACCTGTTCTGCTGAAGCTCTGTTTGCAAAGGGAGTAGCACCAGCCACCGGAACACTAGAACGTCGGCTTCTGCAAACTTCTGAGGTAGAAGTGCCCTGTCCACAAGCGAGAAACCTTACTTTGCCACGAAAGAAGAAAGATGTGGGTTTGAACAGAATGAGGTTTTCCCTCTGAGAGCTACAGAGCATTAAATCTGGCTCCACTTTAGAAGAACCCAAATCACTAAATTCTTAAAATCCTATAAAGCGATCGCGCCTTGGCCAACAAGCAGCCTCCGTACAGAAATGCCGAGTTCCATTTATATCCTGTTCTCACGCCAGGGATGCATTCCCAGGGATCTCTGGAGTTCTAACAGACAGAACTACAGAATGTGGCACTGTGAATTTAGCAGCAATTCATGAAGCGTGTTAGCTCGGCTCTTATTAACTACGCTTACAAAAGGACTTTTTTAGCAGATGGTGATTATTACGATTTGGGAGGATGTTCAGCAGTTAAATTCTAAGCTTGTAATCACCCCCATAATAAAACAATCTGCAATCAGTAGCTCGACTGCACAGGGTTAGGTTTTTAGAAAGCCTGCACCCGTTCAGACACCTCTATTACTCTTCAAATCGACGCTTGATCACAGGTGGGGCAGATAAAGATCGATGGGGATTGATGTCATTAACAACTCAGGGTAACTCCAAACTAAACCAATGACAAGGGGAAAAATAAACACGGAAAACCCCAAAGCCCCAGCGAGATGCTTGGGATACGTGCCTCAAAACCTATTTGAAGGCTGGCATGCTGAGCTGCGCAGAGAACGAGCTGCAGATGGGGTGTACTGAGTAGGGCTTCCCAGCTGCCCCGCTCAGAGCCCAGAAGGAACTTCCCAGCCAGATCCCAGCTGCCCACTTCAGCTCTTACCCGGAAGCGGGTACCGAGAGGCGTCTGTGACAGACGGATCACGTCTTCCATTCTTCCTCTGTACAGTAGCAGGGTTTCAGCAGTTGAAAGATGGGAGGTAAAACTACATGAGCTGAATTCTCTTACAGGGCAGCCTTCAGGTGATAGGAACGAGAGAAGCTTCAGCAGTTCACACTGTGCTTTTGCCCTGAGCGTTACCAAACTGGAAAGGATCAGGAGATGAATCCTTTTCCAAGCACTGCGGACAGACAGCTGTCTTGTCTGATACTTCAGGAAAAGAAGCAAATACCAAACCATTTCAAGTTAACACTCACTGCCAGGGGTGTATTCATTCTCCCAGGGAAGGTCAAGTCTCACGTGTCAGACAGAGACAACTCTGACCTTGTCACAAGGAGGCTAAGGGAAACCCCCTTTCCAGATGTTCTGGAGCAGAGGAATAAAGAACAGGGAGGGAGAGGAACAAAGAACAGCGAGCAGACCAAATAAAGGCATCTTAGAACGAGAGCAAATAAGAACAACTGATCCAGGAAGATGAAGACAAGGGGGAAAGGGAAAAGAGGCAGACGGGTGTTGCATGACACGACTGCTGTCCTCCTGATGGCAGGAGACGAGGTGTGCTGAGGCGAGAAGGCCCAGCAATGGAAAACGGACCTTCTCGTGTTCTCTGAAGCGCCCCCGTGACGCCAGCACGGTCCTCAGCGCAGGCACGGTTCGGGTTGAACCTCCCTGAGCACCGGTACGGGAAGGGGAAGTGCGAGCCCCAGCGCCTGCTTTAGCCCCCGAGTCGGAACACGACGGCACGCGCTGCCGTTACCGCGCTCGAAGGAAGGCACGACAGGGCTTCGCCGGTCCAGGCGCGCTCCGGGAACATCCACCCCAGCGCGACGCCAACGCGGTTCCGCCTGGAGCGCCCCGTTTCCGGACACCGAGCAGCCCCGCTCTGCCGGGACG